GGAGAGCAAAAAGGCTATGAGAGTTGCAGCAAGTGGATTCCTACTTCCAGGATTATGCCAGCAATCTCTCCTTTTCTCTACATGTGGTAAGGACACTAGCACTTTCGGGAAAGACAACTTAAGAGTGACATTTGATCTGTGCATCCAAAGCACCCACAGACTGCTACATAGGAGATTTACCTCCCAAATTATTTTGATGGCTACAAACATTTTGGTTCCAAACCGACCAGAACAAAGCTGCAGGGGCTGGAGTCTGTCAGCTTCCAACCTCACAGAATCACAGAATCATTTAGGTTGGAAAAAACCTCTAAGATCATCGAGTCCAACCCTACCATAACCACCACTCTGTGCCCAGCAATATTTTCAGATTAATTGACAGCCACACCACAGAAGAAGTGAACCAGGGATACGTCACAATTATCACATCCCTCCCTGTCCCAAAGTTCTCCATCCTCTAGCAATTCCTTTATATTTGCAAATGCCAGTCTGGTATTAGCACAGTAGTTTTTTCCGACTTCTGTAGAAAGCTGTCCCCAGGGTGTTCACCCATTAAAAATACCCAGAAGTATCACAAGATCGACATCTAATAGTGAACAGGAACGCATAAAAGTACTGCCATGTGCTTTTGCTAGTCAAGCAATGCCTGTAAACGTTGCAGCCAATTTCCAAGCCCCAAATCTAGTCTGTCAGTTAATACAATGCTAAACTATTCAAGTTTAGAAACTGAGACTTCAGCTTCACTTACTTCATTTGCAGCACTGTTAGAAGGCAGCTACACCTCTGCTTCAGTCTTCCCTGAATATACAAGAATATCTAGACGGTCAAACACCCAGCTAGACATCGATGCCTGGGTTCCTTAAGCAGTAGAGAACATTATGATTTACATAAAGGTTTTCTACTTATTTTTTATGCTGCCTAACCCCCATCCCATCTGTGGATGCTGCGTGCAATTTAATAAGATTAAAACATTTTCTGCAGATACTAAATTTAAAATAATAACTTTTCCCCCCCTTTTAATTTGGCATTCAGCTATCCATCAGAGTAAGCAACAAGTGACTTGGCAGATAATTCAGGACATATGGTGTTGAAGAATGGTAATTTAAAAGTACTTGGACAAGTTTCCTCAACTCATTCACATTAATTTGTGCTATTCTCTTTTACATGTGCTCTAGCAGCTGGTACAGCTAAAAAAGCATAGAAAATATAATGACTATAATGCAAGTGACAAAATAACCTTTTCCTGAGTTGTATGAATGTATAGTGCAAAAACCCCACTCACAAACTGAGTAACAGAAGGAATTCAAAGACAGTTCAAAGCTGGTAAACATATATGCCTCATCTGTAGTCACCAGGTGGCACCAGATGTATCCATATATTGATAATCAGCTTAAAACCACTATAATCCATGTGGTCTTTGAAATGCAAAGCAGATCATGTACGGACATTAGGTAGAGCTCTACAAGCTGAGTAGTCAGTAGACTAGAGAGTTTAGATTTAACTTTAACAAGATCTGACCATTGTTTTATGGTTTGGGTTTTGTTTTGTTGGGGTTTTGTTAGAGTGTTTTGGGGTTCTTTTTTTGTTTGTTTGGGGTTGTTTTGAGGAGAAAGTGTTAGAGAGTAAGATTCAGTGGCATCTCCTAATTTGGAGATGTTGGTTGGAAAACCTAAAAAATGCAAAACCATATTATTTTAACTATATGCATTGATTCTTGGTCAGAATTAACACATTTTTACATTTCCCCCCCTTTTATTTTTTAACATTTACATGTTTAAAGAATTAAATTTTGGAGAAAAATCAGTTCTTTCAAAAGATACATTTCAGCAGTCCTGAAGAATTGTAGCTTTCTGTTGGTACAAAAAGACATTTTCTTCTAGCTTTCTGACATTGTCAATGTACTCTTGAATTATATAAGTAATTCTGTGATTAAAAATAATTTCATTTTACAAATATAGCTACATTATTGTATAAGGTGAAGCTGAAATTAGCCATGTATCATACATAGGATATTACCTCATTAATAGAAAAATATAGTGAGAGCTAATTCATTTACTTGTGAATCATATCAGATTTTTTCCAGCATCTGAATATTCATAAATTTTATCACTATAAATATAAGTTCAATTAGTTCAATGTTCAATAATTTTATCACCAACATTATGGAACCTAAACTGTTTCTTGTGCTTGGTTGTATTTAGCACATGCATTTTTCTTTATCTTCTTATCTGTCCCCTCTGGAAATAACTTTTCATCAAGAGAAAAGAAAAAAACAAAAACAGCAAAAAGGGTGAAATATTGACCTCACTGAATGGATGGCAAAAATCCCACTAACTTCAAGGGGCCAGGATTTTACCGCACAGGACCAAATTTATACAAAGAAGGAAAATCAAACAGCCAAAGATAATATCATATTAAAAGCAAAGAGTCTGAAAATGAATCATCATCTAAGCAATATGGCAAATGTTTACAAATAATAGTAATCAAAAAAGTTGTAGTTTGAAACAGTTTCAAAGGGAACTTGATTCTCCAAGGGAAAAAAAAGTCTATAATTCTCAGTATCCAGATTTTATATCTTTAGCCCACTGCAATGATTTTTCAGCCAGCAGGTACCTTTGGTAACAGTAAATTCATTGTGGAATTACTGCAAAAATGTCATTCACATTTACATTCTCTTCAGCATGCCATTGGCCTAAAAATTAACCAATATGACTAACTACACATATGACACCCATAGAAGCTTAATGGTTGCTGGGGTCCCCAGTGCACACAACACCATACACATGTAAATTACCTGTTTGTTTAAAGACCATTTTTGCATGCACTGGCTTGCAAGCAGTATTTGCATTGGCAATGGGCAAGCCTAGTCTTTTACAGGCACAAAAGGAGATATCTCTGTTCAAACAATTTGTGAATAATGTTCATGCTTTACAGTAAGACCCCCAGCAAGTGCAACCAGAGAAACCAACAAGGAGCAGAAGGAGCAAAGCTATTCATACAAGCCAGCAGCGGAGTTTGGCACTGAAACAACAAACTTAAGCTTCAGCTTAGAGATCTAACCTCTAGACTGGAGCAAATCAGTTTGTGGCTAATTTAACACTGTAGCATGCACCCAAAAAGTAATCCTACCTTTTGACTGCTACAGCATGAAGCTCACCTAAACCAAGTTTTACTACTTGTATTCAAGCATTTTCAATACAGTAGCTGTGGTACGCATGAAAAAGTAGCCCTGAAAGTCTGAAGAACAGTCTAAAATTTAGGCAGCTATTTTAAGGTGAATTTGTAGACTCTCTCTAGCAAACTAGAAAGTGGTTTATGCTGTCATAAAGCAAGTAATTGAAAAAGCCAGGATGAGGTGCTCTCCAGGGATCTCCATTTTTCTCCATTGCAAAGGGAAGCCCAAGGAGCCAGATCAGAGATGAGACCTATCTTTGCATGGCTACCATTAAGTGACATGAACTCTGCTCTGCAAATGGCAACTTCCACTATAGAGGCTGGAGAATGGAGAGACAGGTGTTTTGACTGGTTTGGTATGGGGCTGTGCACTAATCCTTCTGGGTTCTGGTACACTACACTGAGAAATTTCTATACACTATTCTCATCTGCACTATCAGTTGAGAAATAATTAAATGAGACAAGCAAAAAGTGAATCTAGTTTTCTTTCCGTTCTCTGACAGAAATCTGTTGTCATTTTAAAGGAGCTCTGCTGCTCTGTTTTTACTGTCTAGAAGACAAGGCAGGCATATACTATCGCACAAAGACCTACTATATTTCTTTCTTTCCATAACAAAAAAGCATTGAATTTGTGTTACTTTATCAGCAAAAATTATACTTTTTACCTATTATCTGCATTTATATCCACACCAAGTACATTATACTGTAATTAAAGTATATTGTATGCTTTATCTGTGAAAGGGCTGTAATCATTCGACATACTATTCACTGAAATACATTTATAGAGTACCAATAATACATAAAATTTGAAACTGATGAAAATATAATACAATATTATAACTACTTCTAAGGTTTTTCTTCCTAGAAGAGTCCAATGAATATCAGAATTAATGGGCTATGTTATTCTGTCTCCACTCTTTTCTTAAAATGAGAAGGCTAACTACTTCCTAGAGATGTCTCTCAAGGCAGTGCAAGGGGAAGCAGAGTAGGTATCACATTATGAATGAGCCTGTATGTAATGATTTTTCCTTTGAGAGAAGACAGGAGAAACGGAGAGGAGTTTGTACCTTTTTAGGTGTACTTGATGGGATGGATGACTACTTAAGACAGGGCTGAAGTTCTGATCAATTTGGTCATGCCTCCCAGTATTGCCTTGCTGAGCTGGGAGATGATGACCTCCCCATGGAGGAGTTGAAACATTCACTGACTTTTATGGGAGTTTCATAATTAATTCAAATGGACCACATATTACCACTACTATTCTTTTTGGAATTATTTGCTTCTTTGAATGATTAAAGACTTCCCAGCAGGAATAATGTTATCATTATACAAGGGGGCCTTATGGGAAAGACAAAGAGAGACTTTTAACCAAGGCCCGTAATGACACGGAAAGAGGCAACAGTTTTAAATTGAAAAAGGGTAGGTCTAGACTGGGCAGAAGGAAGATATTTTTTACAGTTAGGGTAGTGAGACACTGGATCAAGTTGCCCAGAGAAGTTCTGGATGTATCATCCCTGGAAGTGTTCAAGGTCAGGTTGGATATGGCTTTGAGCAACCTTGTCTAGGGAAAGATGTCCCTGCCCATGTCAGGGTGTTGGAACTAGATGATTTTTAAAGGTCTTTCTGACTCAAAACAATTTGTGATTCTATGATGTCTAAACACAGATTAATACAATGCATACAGCATCAACGTAACTGATTTTTTGATTTTAAATATTCATGTGCAAGGATGATGGTTAGTTTTGGTTTTCTTTTTGCTTACTCCCTTGGCCCAATTCTTCTCTTTACATTAGAGCAGACCACAAACTCAGAGAAAATCCTGCACGTACCTGTTTCTCCCCACTGGGCTTCTTGTGGTTTAACAGCAGCTCCACAGCACCAACTACCTCCTTCCGTATGGCATGCAACAGAGCATCTCCCACATACACATTAAAACTTAAGAGCAGCTCAATGAGCTCAAGGTTCTCATTTTCAATTGCAATAAGGAGTGCAGTTCTTCCCAGGGGATCAATGCAGTTAATATTGATCTTGAAATAAATTTCTGCTTCCTCCAAAGCCTTCTTTACACTGGCATAGTCTCCTTTCTCCACGGCATTCAGATAGGCTTTTTCTGAATGAGACAGTTCAGACTCTGCCCGTACGATGCGGAGAGGGATACGATCTCTGTAGGGAGCATTGACGCTTCTTTTGTAGTAGAACTGGGCCATATTTTATGCCATTCTAATACTTTGTCTCTGCAAGATGAAAACAAAGAGTAAGTCAGTAATTTATTTAGGGGGTACACTGCATCAAATTAATATTTGCAATATACAGGTATTTAAAACTCATACTAAAAAGTGATGTTGAAACACATACAAATGGTGTCTATCAATAGAACTTCTAAGATCTGCAAGAGCAGAAGCCAAAATATTGCTTGTTTGTAACATACCAAGTGAGGCATATCTGTCAGCATACCATTTGCTTGTATGCATTTCTTAGACCTGTGGCAAACATGAAATGACACGATACAATGTAGTTTGCACCAAAAATGTAGCTCCATTTCATCCTTAATTTCTTCATTCAGTTCCACTACCTCATGTTTCCCACAGCTAAAGAGCGTGCTCGTGCACAGTTGCCACTGCTCAGTAGATTAAAGGGCACTCACATCTTTTAAGCTTGATTGTAGTGGCTATGTCACCTAGAGATTGGTTCAGTTGCCCGTATAAGCTTCTGAGGCCTCTCTGAGATGCTCTAGTTATGTCATCTGTGCTCCAGCATGTCTCAGGTCATTCACAAGGTCTGTGCTCATTTGGTACCTCCATGAAAATGTCTCTGACATCCTACAGAAGCCATGTGTCATTTAAGGGTTGTGTGAAGACAACTAAATACAGCCCTTCCTATCTGTTTCTTTAGGCTGGGCAGAAAGAATATGATAGAATTTGAATAGTTATTAGCATTTACATCTTCCTAGTGCTCAAATTCCCTACTTATCTGTGGGAAGACTTATTTTGCACAGTTCAGTGGTGAGCTTCCCTATGAAGATTTTGATTCAATCTCATATGCTACTAGAAAAACATTCACATAAAATGCTTTTCTAAGTAGCACTTACTAATGTATAAATTAAAATTCAGAACCCAAAAGGAAAAAACAAAATCCACAGGAGATAAATTTCCAAGGAGTGGTAGATAATAGTCACAATTTTGATTCTGTACTCTTCAGTTCTAAACCAGAATTAATACAAAAACATAGCAGCTATAAAACAACTCCAAAGTCTTACTTATAAAAAAGCATTTAATGTCTGTGCTTTTATTCTGTATACTTTATGCAAGGAATTTGCAAAAATAATTCCTCCTAACAGAATGATTTTCTCCTGGGTCAATCTTCTACTTGGGTAAGAAAAAAAAAAAAAGGAAGAGGAAAGAGGGAAGAGAAAAATTTGACCTCAAAGCAAAAAGTACACAAAAAATATTTCCCCCGCTGTTCAATTAGAGGCTGAACAGTTTATCTGATGAAGAACTGTAGTTTCTTGAAATTTTCTCAGCTGATAATGCAAGTTGCAGTAAACCACTGCCTTTTCCTCCACTCCTTACTCCTTTCAGTCATTAAAATCTCTGTTGAGATCCTAGTTTAAAAAGATAATATATATTTTTATTATTTTTAGGTTTTGATTCATCAAAAAAAATGTCACTAACAGTAAGTGAGGAACTTAGTAATTATCTTCTCCACTCTTCTTATGCAGTGTGATGAGAGGTAAGTACAAAAGTACAAAGGCTGTTACTGAGTTGTTTTTTTTGTTTTCCAGAGCAGATCAACAGGACTTGAGGCAGGCAGAAGAAAGCAAAGGAGACACATGAGAAAAATTCTCCTCCATATCCAAATACAGGAGCTCGGGAATTGCAATCCTTTTCAAGATGTTTCCCAATTTTCCCAACAAAATGGTATCAGTCTGCAATCTGGGCTACTAGAGGTTGCACAGTTTGTGGATTATGTTCTGTTAATCTCACTCTAAGTAAAATACACTGCAGATCCATTGCACAGTTTTATACTCCTGGAACAGATATCACATTCTTATTGTTAATGCACTTTTATTTTACCAGTTAGATTTTAATTATTTCCTTTCAAAACTGGATTCAAGCAGGAAAAAAGTGTATGTTCAGACCCAAATTAACAGACTTAAGTGTAGAAGTTCACAAGTAGGTATCTACAAGGAAGGTGGGCTGTTACATTCCCATGATAGCCATAGAGATTCACAGCTTCATTCCTCTGCTCACAAATTGTGGTCTGGTACTGGATGCTGAAGGGCATCCTATCTGAGTCCAGCTGCCACCTCACAATGACTTAGGTCTCAATAATGACTCTATTTCATATCTGTCAGGCAGACATTGAATAATGCACACACATTATAGACACGTGGAGAAAACTGAGGGACTGCAACTGGAAGGTCAGTGCTATAAGCTTCTCTCTCTTGAAAGCACAGAAATGAATAAACAGATCATTATCTCCCTGTTTATTGTGAGTCAAATTAGGAATTAACTTATATCAATGAAACCAGGCATCACAGAGATGCTTATAGTAGAAGAAGAGTAAAGCAACCTATGGATGGGATCTACCATAATTTCACTAGGGTCATTTGGGGATTCCTTGTTTCTTTATTTTTATAAGTGTGAGGAAGATGTATTATTGCCTCACTGTACGCCATAAGGAAAACACTTGTTGGAACCTTTTTTACTTACCTTCACATGATTCTTGAAAATTAGATCTGAGCTTAGTTTGTCTCTTTCAGAAGAGACACATTAAGCACACATTGTCATTCTTCCAAATAGCTGTCCTCTGCTAAGCTTTCTTGCCTGCACCACTTCCTGAAAATATCATCCATACAAAAAGTTTTGTATTAACTAAAAATCTATGTTTACGTGCAATTAGAAAGCAGAGATTAATTGCTGATACAGTATGATCCTGGAAGGTGATGTAAACATCAAAAATAATAGTTCATGGGTGTTTACAAAAATAATTTTTTGTTTATTTGTTTTATTTACAGGTAGATAGTGTTGTATGACAACTGTTACTGTGCTGTCAGATGTAAATGCATGCATATGACAAATTTACATGGGCATATCATGAGAGCTGTAAGTGCCTGGAGTAGCCAGCAGAGCTAAGGAAGTCTCCAATTGCTTTGAGCTTCTCTGCAGGAACAAGAGGCGAAAAAACCAAGAGGTCCAATACACTAGAACAGTGTGAGGGAAATGAAAGAAAAAAAATATGGTTCAAAACTTGAAAAATTGTAACTATAGTCTCTAAAGAGTCCACACATCAGACACATAATAAAAAGACTTCTCAAAAGAAACAAAGACAAAATAACTCTCTAAATAACTACACAGTGCTTCCTGCCATGCCAAGGAAATATCATCAGCCCCTGAGCAGGAAAAGTATATAAAAAAGGAAACTATAATACTTTAACAGAAAATAGGTTCTTATGAGACAAGATTTTTTTTCTTAACATGCAGTTTTATTTACATCTACTACAGAAAACTATTTCAGATTATATGGGAATGTTTTTTTTCAGGTAGGAACGGTAACATTTCACCTTCTTTGCAAACCTTTAACATTTCCACTCTATCATTATTTAATAATTTGATAATTCTTAGGAAAGTCTGATGTTATGAATTTTACTGATGCTAAATAAACAATAGGAAATTTTCTTCTGGTGCTATATTGTGCGTGTATATACACACACACACACACACACACACACACATGCACATTATAATCCCAGGTATAGAGAAGTTTCCCCATCAAAGATAACGCTCAAAAAAAAAAAAAAGGCAATTAGAATTCCTTGGCATTTATCCAACCTCTGTGTTTGCCGTATTTGCTTCCTCTACACATATGACCATATCTTCCTTATTTTTCCAGGAAACCCTGACTTGCGTTTCCCTTGCATGCTGTCCCCTATGCCAAAACACTATCAATAACCAGGTGCAGGAGATGTATTGGAGTGACCCATTAACAGGCACCAAGGGCCTCTGTGACAAGCCATTTCTACTGCCAGTCACAGCAACTTATGTATTGCAACCCTTTCAGAGACAGGAAAAGACCAATGACAACATATCTTCTTCAGCAGATGAGCAGCTAGAGGGACATGGATGTGCTCCATAGTATCCACATGTGCAATTTCTGAAACCCTCACTGACGCTACCCTTCTAAATAGACATTATTTCCAACATTGACCACTGTTAAACTTACTGTAGCAGCATATATACTATATAGCTTCTTCTCTGATTTTGCTCGAGTTTGTTTTTCAGACTATTTGCATGAAAAACAAACAAATAAACAAACAAACAAACCCCCGAAACTTCATTACTATGGTGTCACCCTACTCAGGAAACCAGAAAACTTATGACAAGTGAATAACATGCTGATTTCTCTGTGATCTTCTGAAACTATTTTATATGCAATTTTCATGGCAAAGTTTCTAACATTTGCTATGTTCATGAAAGTATGAAATTTTCTTTCTAAAATAGACATGTGACATCCCAGCTTTAATCTGACACAGAACCCTATTTGATACACAGTAAAAATTATGTTCAAAGAGCATTTTGGAAAGCAAGACTCTAGCTCTGATAAATCCCAGTCCAAACGAAGCATAAAGTTCCTTCGCTGTCAGTCACCAGAATAGATTGTTTCAATTTAACAAGCACAAAAGAAATTCAACTAAGTCTTTGATCTCTGAATCCAGCATCAGTCCAGAAACTGGCATATAACCAAAGTTAAACAAATAACTTAAACATGCTTCTAGCATTGAGATCAACTGGATAGGCTGTGCCTATACTGTTAAACATACTTCACCCAAAAATAGGACAGCTGAATGAGAACTGTCTATTGGGAATAATTTGGGTCTATGCTAACTCCCACACTTTGCCTGAAAATTTCATAGGAAGATGTTAATTGGGCTGAGACAACAATTGGATTGATTCCAGGGACTGCTCAAACAACTTCAGCAGGTGATGGAGTTTCACTGACCATGTATGCCTTTAGCACTGCTTATTTTACAACTGCTATAGCTGGCAATACAGTATCCTCACCTGAAAGTAATTTTTCATTGTTAGAACTACAATCAGCTTCAGACTTGAACGCTAACAATAGCAAAAGTAGCAATTTGGACTTTTAACACTGAGTCATGCATGCAGCAGATAAACTGAATAGCTCAATATGGTGTATGTTCCCTCTGAGGCCATTGATTACTTTGGAAAAGAGA